GGAAAAAACATGCCACGCATCTAGAGTTATCTGTTGTAATTGCTGTTAGTATGAACTTTGGCATAAATTCTGTGTGAGGTTGGCTTAACGTAGCTCTGCAGAACTTTTTTTTATAACCAATATCATTGGAGACTGGATGGTCACTGTGAAACTAGAGCTTGAAAATTGGCCAGTAATATCCTCATTACGTTGCATTTTTCTAACACAGAGGTGCGCAGATTCTTGATGCAAGTTTCGAAGAAATTATATTTGAAAACCCTGAGCGTATGCAAAAAGATGCTTTTTGTGAAGTGATGCAGAATATTATAATGTCTATATTGAATTTGCAGGCTATGTTAATCAAGAAGTGGTATAGGGTAGTATAGGATAGTAGCCTGCGTGCTTACTTCAGAATCAAACCTTTGACAAAGAGCTCTAGCTGTTTCATATGCTTAATAACTCCTGGGAATGCTAATTATCAGATAACCCAGATCTGTGTCTGAACACTGAGCAATATCATGCTTTTTTTGAACCTAGTGCATGAGTTGGCCTCTTATTTTGTGGTATCATTCGTACAAAGGCGCTGGTGTTGAATCTAGTGTAGCGTGGTACAAGACTGTGCCTGTCAACACTTGCACGGGGAAGTGTAGCAGGTTCAGAAAGCAACGGTCTGATTCCAGGCGGCTGCTTCTTGGTTTTAGGACAAGGCGTGTTGTTAAATCGAAAGCTTTGAAATGTAATTGTGACATGGGACGGTTACGGTGTCGGTATTCCCAGAGTACCATCTCTGCAACCTGTTAGCATGTGGACTGTGTTGTCTTCTATCCATGGTCATATGACGGCCAGATCAGTTTTCTCATTTAGAAGATGTACATGTTTTTTACATAGAAAAATTCTGATAAAAATGTCTAAGTTATTTCTGTCACTCTATGTCACATTTCAGTGATTTTTGCTAATTGCATAGTAAAAAAACTAGCGTAATTTTCTTCCTTAAGTTAAAAAAACCAACAACATACAAGCATATGACTACTTTGAAATTGGTAGCATGTATTAAATCGCCAAGTATTTAACAGTGTAATTAATAGTATACATTTTAATGGTATTTAATTTTTTTCTCAGGAGCTGTGATCGTCTCTACTCCACAAGACGTGGCTTTATTGGATGCACGCAAAGGAGCTGAAATGTTTAGAAAAGTCAATGTACCTGTAAGCCTCTACATTAAAAATACTAGTAGATTCAGAAATCACTTGAATTTCACTTGAATCCATCTTACATCTGTATCAGGAGTTTACTTTAACAGAAAGGAAAGAATTTTCTCAGACCAAGGTCGTAATTTAACTTGATTTCTTTTAAATCAGTTTGTTTAATCACCTGGAATGGATCAGACTGTGAAACAGAGTCTCTTAGGAAGCAATGCGTGTTTTCCATTTATACTGTCCTATATCCCCATTATGAAATATTTTGTTTTGTTTCTATGGTTGGGTTTGCTAAAATTATCCAAAATTACTTTCTTCAAGTAAAAAATTGTGGTCAGGTTAGTACTTTGCTGAATTTTCCTTTTGATTTAATTAGAAATTGCCAAGATTTCTTTTTAAGTCTGTTTTGTTTGGTGTTCTTTGAAGAGAATGGCCTCTAAGGAAATCTTGCATTCTAGGTTAGGCTTGGCTGTTATTAATTTGATTAGTGGTAGATAAGTTACTAGATATGATCTATTTTGATTTGTTGGAATTTTCATATCCTTGTGAAGAAAATTAAAAGTCACAGCGAAGTCGTTGTGCCATATGCTGAGTTTGAATGCACTTGAACCAGGTCTTACCTTTTACATGGTGCTGCTTCATTTTATTCAAATCTTGTATGGATGTGTCATTTACTTCAGTGTCAGAGCAGCTCCTGTCTTATGTATTGCATTTCTTAAGTGTCCACTAAATCTGAGGATCTGAAGAAAGTTCAGTTACGTAAGTTTTGATGGAGAACTTCAAATCTGAGGTTTGCATCAAAGAGGTGGATTCTGTGGGACCGTGCTAAAATTGCGTCTCCTAATTATGCAACTGATTGATCTTTTAAAAAAAGTGTTTAATCTGTAAAAAAATCCTTGCAAAGAGTCCGCTTTTGAAAGAAGCAAAGGGTCTATAGGCTACTGAGCTCCGAGGCTTTGAATATGCTTGCTTATGTTTAATGAACTTGTGCCAACAGGTGTACATACACCACCTTCCCCTCACCCCCAGTCATTAGTACCAAAGACTCAAATGACACAGGTAGTAGTACCACAGTAAAGTCACAAGTACTGACATTGTTCATCTTTTGCTGCACTGCAATTAGAGTAGAATGACTGAAGAAAGTGACGAAAAGCTGGTAATGAGACTGGCTGCTAGAACCAGGATTACAACGCAGAAGTCTTATTTTCAGTCTTGGAACGTAGTCATTAGGAGAGGAGTGCATCTCTTGTGTAGTGGAACACACCTGGTGGGGAAGAAGTTTGCGAAGTGAGTCTGACTCCTATCACAACAAGTTTCAAGATTCTCCCTCATTAAATGAATTTTGAATTTGGCCATTGTTTTCGTGCATCCCAGAGGCTTGCTCTGAGCAGGTATGGAAAAAAAGAGTGAATAACTCAGAGTATTTAGGAAAAATTTGCCTATTTTCACCTGCTGAAATTGAGTTCATATACTTTATCTTATAGATCATATCCCTGAAAGAAAAAGAGAGGGATTTAGCTAAATGTACAACTTTTCTGGTAGTTTCCTTGAATTGGAATGTTATGTTGTGGATTTCATGGGTTCCAAAATACTGGTTATGTAAACTCAGCTTAGTATTTCCTTCTAAGATGTACTAAAATGGGGTTTTGGCTATGATATTTCTGTAGCGACCAGAGTACCCAGCGAAAATTATGGCTTCATATTGGCAGCAAACGTTAGAGCCAGAAATTGCTTGTTAAAAGACAAAAGGTAGGAAGACAGAAATATTGTTGTGTGTGTTTGTTCGAAGCCCTAAACTGCCAAGGGACTGACTGATGGTTACGCAGGAAGCTGATGGGCAGCTGGGGAATGGTCCCCCTGATCATGCCAGTCCCAGTCAATTTGGAGTCGGAGTTCAGGGTCACCAGTCCTTAAACGCACTGAACAGCTTTGGTGGGTTTCTCAGGGGCTGTTTCCTTGTGTAAAGACAGAGAGCTCTCATTTTCTTACTGTATTTTCTTTAACTTAGAAGATAGTGTATTTGAATTTCGATGTGATTTGTTGTGTAACGAAAAGGTTTGTGAAAATATGTAAACGTTGAAAAACTGTGTGTGCAGATAATTCTGAATGAATAGTAAGTTTATTTCCTGATACTTTCTGATAGATGTCTCTTCACCGTTTAAAGTAACAATTTGACTAAAGGAAATTCAGTTCTGTGTGTTTTAACTAGCCTCTTCTCCGCTACCGTAGGTTAGCTCCTGTATTGCAGTGCACCTCATCATGCCAGTGGTTATGTCATTACTGAGCTAAGTTTGTCGAGAAACGTATAGGGTAAGGAGCTCACTAAGGACTAGAATAACATTCGTGCGTACTTACAGGATAGTTTGTGTAGACAGTAGCAGCTGCTTTGAAGCTGTTCCGGATCTATTATTTGAGCAGGGAAATGAGAGTTTTTACTGACTTCATTAGCAAGCTCTCTTACTTTGTGTGTAGTTTAAAAAGCTCTGAAGATCATAGTGAGCTCTCTTCCTTCTGTAAATATATCTGCAGAAATATGCACGTTAAAAATATGCTTCAGTATTAAAGTTGTAGATGTCTGCACAGATTCTTTATTAACCTGTGTGTTTATAATTGGCAACTTAATATTCGAAAAAATCTCTTCATGTTCCAGGAGGATAATTTATATATTAGTATATATGCACTACTTGTTGGCTGACAGATAGGAACAACACTGAGAAAGTAAAAATGTTTATGTAATGCTGAAATGTCATCTGTTGAAATGAAAACAAAAAAGGACAGTGAATAAGACCTCTAAATCTGATGCAGCCTTAGGGATACAGCTGTATCTCAGCATTTGCATTAACTGTGGCAGAAGGACTTAGTTATTAGGTTATCAAAGAATTAACAAAACAGTTGTAATAGCCCTTAACTATTCACAGAACAGTAGTAGATTAATAATTTTTTCTTTGATTGTGAATTCACTGAATCATAAATGTTGCATGACTTTGTAGGGAATTGAAAGTTCAAACCCCAAGATACCTGAAGAAGAATTAAATCATTTAAAGTATAAAGGTCAAGTGCTCTTTTTCTCTTGTGCTGCCAAAAATTGCTTCCCTGTATCTTAGTTGAAATACTATTTTTCATTTGTCAAATAGTACTCCTTCCAGTGTTCTCCAGTTTACCAGCACATACCTTTAAGGAGAACAAGATGAATATCTGTTTAGAGGTCATTAGTAGAAGACTGTAGAGAGCCCTTTTTTACCTTCCCTACGCTTTGTGCCCTTGGACAGGTAGTATTTCATGTCTTAAAACTTTAAGAACTGGATGAGAAAATTGCCTGTAATAATATGCCAATAAATAGAAACTTGTTCCTCTTGTTCCTTTGGAAGTCCCCAGGAGAGAGTGTTTGTGGTGTTAAATCGCAAGTAGGCAATCTTTTGGTAGGTTTGGTTTGTTTTTTTTGTTACTGTCTTAAAATGTTCCTTACTTTAAACCCTCTTAAAATTTTATGTAAGTAAAGGAAGACTTTTTAGAAAATGGTGTGAAACACATTATGGTGATACAGAAAAAACAGATGATGGTCTTTTGATCATTTTTTAGCTTATATCTAAGGAAACTTTTATTAAGCTAATGTAAATAACATGCTTTATTTACAGTTTTGATGTCAAAAGTTGTACATTCACTCTTAATTAAATAATATTTGTTGTTTACATTGAACACTGGTATAGGCTTTTAGATGTACTTTGTTAGCCTAGTGGGTATGTTACTCCTCTAATAACTAGGCTGACTTGTTCAAGCACAAAGCCAGAACGCTCAGGGAAATTTAAAAGTACAAAATGCTAGAGAGTAAATAGCAGCTTTTTGTACTTGAAAGTATAAATTCAGACTTGGCTACAGTGTGTGTGACACATCTAGATAACATATAAATCTCAAAGTGAAATCCTGTAACATGGAACCTCTTAAAGCAGGTCTTCCGTTGATTAGCAGATGGGTAGAAGCTTTCGCTGTAGTGTTTGAATGCTGTTTTCATAACTTTGGAGAAATTCTGCTCTGCCTCAATGCACAGTTTTGTTTACTAGTTGAATAAAATGAGATCAGTGCTGTCATTAGCATTATACTGCATTGTGAAAGAAGATTTTTCTGTGCATGATTTGGCAAATTTTCATTTGACATATTTTGCAAAGATGAAGTTGAACACCTGGCATCAACAGAAAGGTACCTAATAATATGTGTGTATCCGAATTTTATGCTGTGTTTTATTTGTATTTATTTCACATAATTATTTTCTTTTGTTTTGATCTTTAAAATGTGTTTCTGCTCTTCAGAAAAATAGCAAATCTGGTTCTCTTTGAAAACATTTCCCTACAGGATAACTTACAAAAATATCTTAAAAGCATATCTGATTGTGTCATTTCTTTTAATGGTGTGATTTTATTTTGTGTTTCCTGAAACTGCAAATTGCAAAGCTGTAAAACACAACATGAAAATTCTTCCAGTATTCACAGTTCAAAAATGAAATGCTAGCAGGGAGAGTTCTTGGAAAGCTAGGCCTATACAAGAGGTACTTTTTGATACAAGCAAGTTTGTTAATCTAGGAGAGGTGTAAATATGAAGAACTTGAAATAATGCACACATGATGGTGCAAATGAGACGACTAGTAAAAGCTGATAATGATATTGATGAGTCTGACGCTACAGCTACTTCCTATAGTAAATGAGTACTCTTTGTCAATTCTTTGTTGATGATCTCTTCTTTATGGTCAGAGGTGAACAATGGGAATACCGATGCTCAAATCTCATGTTTGAACTTTCTTTACTTAACAGGTTTTAGGACTGGTTCAAAATATGAGTGTTTTCCAGTGTCCCAAATGTAAGCATGAGACACACATTTTCGGAGCTGATGGTGTAAAAGATCTAGCAAAAACCCTTGGATTGGATATTTTAGGTAAGAGTACAGAAATGAATTTATTTTTGAAGAAAGATTTAATGGCATGCATGAGGGAAGCATTAACCGAAGTATGGAACTGGCATAATCCTAGATTACTCTATATTCAAGACAGTGTTCAAGTATAACAGAACTAATAACTTTGGTAGTTGAATGATACAGTTTTCGTATATTCTGTTCCTTATCGGGATCATTCTTATAAAGGAGTTGTGGACCGGAAATGAGAATTCTTGTATTGCATCTTAAATCTCTTTTGATTTATAAACAATCTAGAACATGAATTGGTTTTGATATCAATGTGCTATATTACCTGAAATTTGTTACTTTGTTGATCATGCAGCAATTTTTACAAATAGCTAAGAATGCTATTTGATCTTGTAAACCAGACCTGAACTCTGTCTATTAATATCAATTGAAGTTTTTTCATTTATTTCATTTAAATGAAATGAGTTGTTACATATTGAAATAAATATGGTAATTTGAAATGCAGTCCCTTAAAGCAGTTGTTATGCCCGTATGAAGATACCGTGGCTCTTGTATGGAAGCAAGCAGACTGTAATGATTGTATTTAAGTGTTGAGATTAGAAGAATACACTGAATTGCAAAATGATTTTCAAAACCAAACAAAAATTAGCCATGATTAAACAATCTGGTGTGCCTATAAGCTAAAATATACATTGATCTTTAAAATATACATTGCTGTTTTAAAAAGGCATATTTCAACCTGTGCTGTCAGTAAAAAATCTACAGAATATAACACAGGGTAATTAAGTTGGTAAATGGGATAATTGCATGTGCTAATGATGTGTTTCCATGTATTACTATAATTATCTCAATGATTTTCCATAGCTAATTCATTAAGAAGAACCAGGAAGCTCACTTAGAAAGATCAACATAGAAACATCAAGGTCTGACATAATCTTAAGATAGCAAGGCAGCACATAATTAAAGCCATGCTTTTGGGCTATCTTTTAGTTTTCTGAATATATAGTGCGTTGTGATGAGAGCCCAAGGGGACTTCTGCAGCCCAGGGTTCTGTGGATGGATGCAAATCCTCTGCAAGCAGTTGAATCAAATGTGCATTTAGGTACAGCAGCAGGCAAAAGGAATGATGTGCCGGGCTGTTGGTCCCGTAGATGGGTTTTGTTACCCCCTAAGAGGGCAGAACTGATTGTGATTGTATTTAATTAGAAGTGATACGAGAGTTTTACAGGCCTAACAGGGAACGGATGAGGTGTAGGAAGAAAAACAGAGTGAAGTTTACCTTCCGACTGTCAGTGAAAGACCAGACTAAGATGTAAGCGTAATGCCCCAAGGGTTAAATTTAGAATTACAGTACTTGATCTGATTAGTATGCTCCTCCTTCCAGGGATGACCATTATATAATAACACCATATGGTATTATAAGAATTACTGCTTACAGATTTTATCTTAATCTGTCCCAAATGGAAGTTTTATCCCAATGTGTTTTTTTTCTTTTACTTCCTACAATAAATTTGAATTATTCTCAATGCTTACCCTTTCTTTGCAATAATTGTTATTATCCAAAAATTGTACAATGGCAAATTCGCATCACATTCTGTAGTGAAGAATGGTGCAAAACCTTCATCTTGCTCAAAACCTTATCACCTAAACAGCTGCGCAGATACTTTTGCCGTCTTTATGCTTCTGCTCAATTTATAAGATTTTGATTTTTTAAAAAAATTCAGATTACATTTTGCTTTGTCTCCTAAATTGCACTTCTGTTCATGCAAGTCCTGTTATGCTCCTGTAGTACCAGCACATCTTTGTAAGTATGAGAAAGAGAAGAGAGAGGCTGCCATTTTGCAGTGGGGCAGTTCAATTTGTAATTCTCCAAGATTGTTATTAAGCTGATAGGAGGAGATGTTTTTTCATTAACAAAACATCTGTGGTAAAAAAGTGAGCACTGGGCTCTGCATAAAATAATGTTAGGAATAAACGTCTGGGAAAATTTCAAGTTACTGTTACTTTGAGAGGCATCCCTGCCCGTGACAGGGAGGTTGGATTAAATGATCTCTAAGGTCCCTTCCAGCCTTGGCCACTCTTTGATTCTCTGATTCTATTAAGAATGGTTAAGGCTAAAAAAAACTTTCAGAGGACCCCCCTAAGTATCTTTCTATGAATAAATGGACAGACTTTTATGCCTAAAGATATTTATTCCTGACTGAAACAAACAAGAAACAATTAAATTTGAAGGACTCATCATAAATAGTAAATTGAAGTTCTTCAAAGACTCAGCTCACTAATCATGGAGCCACAGCTTTTGCTTTCCTTATAATTTTTTTTTTGTCTGTATTCCTCCTTTGTTTATGTTCTGGTTATTTTATCTCTTAAGCTGTGTTAATTTTCACAGAGGTTTTTTAATGTTTCTTTTTCTGACTACATTGAATTTGAGTAATTTACACTGGCCTTAGTTTGAGTTAGATGAATGTGGCTAAAGTGTATGAACTAAACTGATTGAACTAAGGTAGGTTGTTCTGTCTGCATCCATCCATGATGTAAAAGGCACTGTATATTCCACTAAAAGATAGTTGGTTTTCATTTCTCATAATAATTATCTATGTAGCAATGAACTAAACATGGGAACTTCAGGTTTTCTTTAGTGCTGAAAAACTATTTCAGAAAGCATGTTTCAGAACGGAGTAGGGCTGCTAATTGATTCTCCTTTAGAGCGTTCCTTTCCTCTCTGACAGTTCTCTGCTCGTTATAAAAGCAGAATATAAAGACAGTTTCTGTCGGAAAGAAGAATGAGCTGAGTAGTTGTCTACCTTTTAATTAGATCCAAGGCCTAATAAGGACAATAACAAATGTTATTATTTGGAAATTAAGTATTCAAAGAAGTCTTTGAACAGTGATTAAAATCTTAAAACATTGAAAAGAATATACAATGAGGAGATAGGCTGAACAGTAAGTTGCCTGACGAGCGTTTGCCTAACAAGCAATTATTTTATGTACGCAAAATAATTTGTGTCTCAGCCTGTGTTTTTCTGTGTTTGAGGCAAAAAAGCAAACTGCCTTCTCTAATAAATGACTACAAAGCATAGTCCTTCCTATTCAGAGAATGAAAAATCCAGAATATGTTTGTCATTAATCGTTATGAATGCACAGAAACTGTACTGCAGCCAATTTTCATTTAAAATGCTAATTTTTTGAGATTAAGTAATTCAAAGGATGTACTGAACTGGAATTTGATTTCAAGTTGCTTTAGGGCTGTTTTAATGAAACGTTTAAGAAATATTAACTCTTCACATATGTGTATCTTGGTATTTTTGATACAGGAGACATTCCACTGCATGTTAATATACGGGAGACATGCGATTCAGGGCAGCCTGTTGTGATCTCACAGCCTCAAAGTGATGCCGTAAGTTTGGTGCACTGCACTTAAACCAGCAAAAAGCCCTTCTCCAAAAAAGTGGAGAGTGCTTCTTGTTATTTCTGTTTGAAAAGAAATGGGTATCTGCACATAACTTATGGAAATACAGAAGAAGAAGGTGATATCATCAAGTAGCTCAGGCCCTTCGTTAAGGAATGCTGGTCATCCGTTCTGCTTCTGTGAGTTCGATTTTGTTTAATTAGTCTGAGCCATTCAGAATAGTCAAGATTTGATCCAGGTTCTGGCGCGCCAAGAAGAGGGAGGTCAGTGTCAAGTCTCATGAGACTTTGCAGCTCGTGTTGGTCCCCTAAAACTGTCAGTTGAACCTTTGGTAGTTGAGCCTGGAAACTGTCAAAGGGTCCTACCCGGTGATGTTTGGAACAAAACCTGCATATCGTCAGTACCCGGATTGTTTTCAGCAGG